AGGGCCACACACGCGCTCCCTCGCTGTGCGAGATTGCGTGTGTCGTGGAAAGATCTGGCGATGGCATTTCGCCGCAGCCGCCTCGATGACAGCCGTAAGGTGAGGAGATGAGAAAATTGGCCCATCGCTAGGCGACGGCAGCAGGTCACCCCACGTGCGGGCTGGGAGCTGGGATCAGGGCATCTGAGACGAGACCCCGCCCCCGAGCAAATACATCACTTTCTAGGTTTTTAGTCTGTTGGGCTTAAAGAGCGGAGGAGAGAAAGGAAACCAACCCTGCAAATATGCAGAAAAGAAAAAAGGATGAAGATTACCAGGAGGGATTTGGCAGATTTGAATAATCCAAATGATCCACCGAGGCCGCCGAATTTGTCACAATTGGGTCAATGGAATTATTAAAATCTGCCAAATCCCTCCTAATAATTCAGTGTGCCTAGTAGTCACCTGATGGATTCTAGACTGATTGCCTGAGGAATCCTGCTTAGGCAGTGTACCATTTCGAGAGGCTTCAGCTTTTTTGTGGTTCGGCAGTCCACTATGATCCACAAGTATGTCTGCCAGATGATGGTGGTTCATCGGCAACCCAGAAACGCAAGAAGCTACGTGTCCCCACGGTATGAACTGGTCTTTCCAATTATTGGGCTACACATCTGCGTCCGTTTATGCTCACCTCGCATTCGTCGTTTGTTCCAGAGACCCAGAAGGCAAGAACTCCCCTTGATCTCCTTGGCCATTTCAGTCTCCCTTTTCCTTGCCGCCAACATTATCTGATCTCATTATGGTCATGCGAACGTTACGTGATATCTACCATAGAGCACGATTTCACTAAACCTGCAGAGGGCATTCAAAGTGAGGTTAGACTTTTATTAAGGCACCGGAATACTTCTACCTGTTTGGTATCGCGAAATTATTAAAATATTTCGACGTAAGATGACGAGGAAGTGTGTTTGTTCTCTCAGGTCTCCAGTATTGTACGCTCTCTCACCGAGAGCATTTTCTCGCCTCATTGCATTGGCAATTTAGTAGCTGATAGAAACTGACTCGCTGGAACGCGCATCTTCTGAAGTCGAGCCAACAACCCAGCAAATTCAAGCAAAATAGCACGCCAAATCGTTTGCATGTATCCTGTTGTTGCACATACTTGTGATACTACCTAAATAAAGCAAGTAGCAATTGCGTTTTGTTTTAGATTGTGGAATTGAGGAACCGGTGACGAAAACTTTCCTAAATATAAAGGTCAGAAGGATTCAGGCCAATAATGTCTTCGAAAAACCTTGTCTGCAGACTACAGTGAGCGCACTGAGACCTTCGACGAAACTACCGACTTCGGTGCACAAAAAATGGTCATTAAGAATAACGTGAATTCGGACCATCTGGGGACACCTAACGGAGTTCCATAATACGAGACAGTCAGACGAATCCTCGATCCTGGAGCAAGTACAAGGAAACTGACAAGACGACGACTTGATCGTTTCGAGATCCGTCGCGGATTCGTCCTCTGAGACATAGTCAGAGAGCAGTAGCAGATACTGCGTCTCTGATGACGAATCTGCGACAGATCTCGAAACGTCAAGCAAATAAAAATATTGTTCTAGAGATCGAGTCATCTTCTTGTCAATTATTTTCTGTGAATCGCATGTTCGATTTTATTACAAGGAAACTATTTACAGAACAGTTACGTCACTAACAGGAAAATGAGCCAGACCATGCTGCATTTTTGCCCGATATGGGGACTGCTGATACCTTCTGCCTGTTCAATTAACTTATAATCTCCATGAAATTTCTGCCCTTTAGTTTTCAAAAA